AGGGTATCCATTATTTTTCCTATTTTTTATGAATTTTTAATATATGTTTTTCCTATCGAGTTTGTGCCCAAATCCAGTTCGAGTTAGCTCGATCGAGATTAAAAAACCTTGGAATTAGACAAAATAAACTACAATGAGAAAAGATACCCTGTCTTCAAGGGGGATTCCACCCCAATAGTTTTCACTCTTGAGGTTCAAAGGCCTAATTCACTCTCTAGGCTCAAGGCTTGGCCTCCGAAGGTGTACACCCCAAAAGATCTTTCATAAGACCGGGTACACTTCAAAAATCTAAAGTGATTTATAAGAAAATGTAGTTACTATTACACTCTAGTCCTTTATCATTAACAAAGTCAAAGTTTCAAATCTACCCCTCAATTCTCTGCAACAACAAAAAAGGCACAAATACCCTAAGAAAGCCACAAATTAAAAGATTCAAACAACCCAATTTCAGTCCCCCGTATAAACATAATAAAATAGGAAAATACTAGAAACCCTACCCATGTCCTTCTCTAGGGGTTAGGAGAATCTTGATCTTGCTATGGTTACATGACCCTTCATAGGGATTTTGACTAGTTGGTGATGTGATCCCACCATTGGCCTCATTTATTTATCCACTTAATGAACCAAATAACGAAATAATAGACTAGGCAACATTAGTGTTAAAAAAAGCGGATCACCCAGCGCCTAGGTGGCCGCCTAGGCGGTCCAGAAGGCCTGGGCGTATTGCCCAGACTTAGGCGGCCAAACTGGGTGGCAGTCCCTAGACGGCCGCTTAGACGGTACGGAACCCGCCTAGGCAGTCGCTCAGGACCTGCGCCCCGCTTATGGGTGGAGCTTTTTTTTGTTTTTTCGTTTCTATTGATTTTTTTTTAAATATAAAGGGTTTCAAAGGATGGGTTTTAGGTTCATTTGAAACCTAAACCCACAAGAACCCATTTTAGAGAGAAAGAAACATCAAGAAAACATCCTTTTCTGACTTTCATTGGATCAAAGTGTTTCTCAAAGTTACGGAAAACGGATCCAAACATCACCCAAGTAGATTTGATTTAGTTTTGGAGTTTTATAATCCTATTAGAGGGTGTTTTTTATTATTTTAGCATAAAAAAACATCTCAGAGGTGGGAGTTTGGAGTTTGAGAAATCAAAGTAAGTGCAAAACTTTATTTTTTAGATTGCTTATTTTATTTTGAGAAGTCTTCTTCAAGATCTAGTCGAAGTGGAGATCCATGTTGAAAATATGGATATAACCTAAATCCAAATGTTGTCATTTGGATTCGGGTTATATCCATATTTTCAATCTGGATCTCCACTTTGACTAGATGCTGAAGAAGACATCTCAAAATAAAATAAACAATCTAAAAGATACAAAAGGGGGCATAAACCGGTTTAAGAAACATCTTACCGGTATTAATGGGAATGTTGCCCCTTCTAAAAATGTTCCTGAAGCTATTAGAGAGGAGATTAAACAATATATGAGTTTTGTAATACAAAAACAAGAACAAAATCCTTGTCATTTGAATAGATCTATTTCTACTACTTTTAGAAGAAGTGATCCGGGTTGGAAGTATAGGTATAACCCAAAACCAAATGATAAAAATTGTATAAAGTGTAATTTTTGTAAAAAAGATATCAATGGGGTATTAACTGATTCAAGAAACATCTTGTTGGTATTAAAGAGAATGTTGTTTTTTGTAAAAAAGTTCTTGAAGCCATTCGGGATGAGATTAGACAACTTCTGAATTTTAAAGAACCAGAAAATGATGAAAATGAGCTTTGTTCTATGGAAATATCTTCTCCAGGTTCTTCTAGAAGTGGTGATCCTGGTTAAAAGTATGGTTATAACCCAAATTCGAATTACATAAATAATATTAAATGTAATTATTATGGAAAGGATACTAATGGGGGCATTTACCAATTTAAAAATCACCTTGCCGGTATTAAGGGGGATGTTGCCCTGTGTAAAAATGTTCTTGACGCTACCAGGGAGGAAATTATATAATATTTAAGTTCAGGGAAGTACAAAAAGATAAAAAAGGATAGAGCAGTCAAGACTTCTAAGGCCTCATCTGCACATGTTAGTAAGAGGGAGATAGATGAAGAGGAGGAGAAAGAGGCGGATTCAAAAGAAACAGAGAATGACGAGCGTTATATTGAAGAGGGAGATGACTCTGATGATGATGGCCTCGATTCTGATGCATATGATGAAGCTCACCCTATTCCTTCTGGGGATGATGATGATGATGACTGAAGACTCTTGGTGTTGAATGTTGACTGTTGTGTTGAGTGTTGATTAATGAGTGTTGATTAATGTGTCATAGTCTTATAGACTGTATATTTTTTGAATTTATGTATATTGTCTCTTTCTTATTTTTCGTTTCTACTTTCTAGTTTCTAGTTCTGCTTCTACTATCTAATTTTTGTGTGTACAGTCTACAGTGTATCAGACTATCAGTGTATGCTTGTATGGTTTTACTGTTTTAGCATTGCATGAAAATATGGATTATCCAAAATTTAAAATTCTCTTCCTGACTTCTATCTTCTTTTTTTTTAACTGGGATCATGGTCTTATGGATTATCAAAATTCTTATGGATTAATCAAGTATTAGTCATCATTTTTTTGTTTTTTTTCAACTGAACCGAGGCTGCCTAGATGCTGGGTGGCCTAGACCCTCATGGCCGCCTCAGTGCCGCCTAGCGCTTTTTGAAACACTGCGCAACATGTAGTGAACTTTGGGATATCATGCATAATTATGGTTTACCTTCCGAAATCATATGATATCTATTCTATTAAAAAAATTATATTGAGCTCAACTAGTCAATAAAATCCTTTATATGGATCTTATCATGAAAGTTGGGGAGATTGACCTTGATACATGATCTCGTGCACACTGCATAGATAATAGTTCTTGCTTGAAGATCAACTCTCTATGTATGGGATCAGCTGCTGTAGCCGGTAATGGAACTTGATTAATCTATAAGTTGAGGTTTGGCATTGAATCTACTAGATTATGAGCACCCTCTTATTGGGATGATGATTTAGTAATCATATCAACTGCTGATTTATTTCTCCTATCTCTCCTTGAATTTTTCCGATCTCTCCTCGAATTT